TTGACCTGGACCTAGGGGGAGAGCCAAGAGACACACCACCACCCTGAACCAAAGGAGAGTTAAGGGGATGTACCTACCAGAGGAGGACCCCAGCCCTCTGAGTATAGGAAACGGTATCAAGAGGAAACCTTATCCCATGTTTCCCTACTGACAAAAGAGGAAGATCTCCTTGCTTCCTCTGCTGTGTCAGCTCAGACCCTTCCCTGAGCTGACTCAATGCTCTGAGCCAGCAGGGAAACATCCCTGTGTTCTGCTGATTTGACTTGACTCACAGGTAGATCCACTAAGCAACAAAGCAAGGGCAAGGAGCAGCAAGCAGGCAGGAGACCAGGAACAGAGTGAGGCAGAAGTTGGGGAAAAAACAGGACCTCTCCTTTTTCATGGGGGTTAGCACTGCTCGATCCATCTGGTGAAACCACAACCTGAGAGCAGAAGGAATCGGACTGTTATCCATGTGGTCCATATGGAAGTGGTTGGTTGGAGAAACACCGCGTTTCCTTTGCCTCCCTCTCTCCCTCCTGTATCACGTTGCTTGGCAATGCTCATTTGTTTAATTCATCGCTTGCAAGCACAGAAGAAAAGTTTGCCGAGTGCCAAGATTTAATTTTCTGGGTACCTGCTAAAAAGCTTAATTCAGTGCTTTTTCAGCAGATTCTTGGAAGTTAAATGTGCCTTATTCAGCCCAAAACTGACACGGCTAAAAGCACATTTTGCAGGTGGGAGATACTTCACTGCATTTCTTAATATTTCAGATTTGATACTTCCATAGAGTCCTTCGGACAGATGCTTGTGTGGTAACCTTCCTCCACATGGGCACTTGTTTCGTAGCATAAAAATTGGTGTTCTTCAAATGCCACATGCACTCACGAATGTTAGAAATACATACGAAGGTTAAAAGATTTTAAGACACACTGTGTGCTTCAGAAGCAAAGGAGAAATCTTTCAAAAACACAAACACTGCAGCTTAATTTTTATGACCAGACTCTGAACTGTGGCCATGTTTACTTGTTGCTGGACGAGCAGCAAATTGTGACTCCCAGTTTTGTATCGCAGGGCTGCTCTAATTAAATGCTCACCAATATATCTTATCTAACAGAGACTACAATAAGGGAGAATAGGAAGCAAAGAGGGAAGAAAAACCAGGCTAAATAACATTGCTTTAAACACAGTTCTCCAGCATATTGTACTCTACATTGTCCTTTACTCCTTTGAAAGCAGGTAGAACATACTGTCAAGGAGCTTTTTTTCCCCACATTGCATGTAAGTAAAATTATTATGGTAATTAAGTATGGCAACTCAGAAAATGTTTATTAGGAAACTGGATTCAGGTTACAAGTGTCTAGTAAGGAAATGCCTCCATATAGGATGTAACTACTTGAGAAACAAACACCTCCCTCCAACCTCCACTGTAATTTTACATGTTCCATCTTATTTCAAGGAACAGCTGCACCTTTGCTATGAAAAGTAATTGTCTTGCTCAGGCCGTTAAATACTGATAAATAGATCTTGGTAAGGTAATTTTTTTGTACTTTTTAAATTCCACTTCCTTTCTTATTGTTCTGTTTATTGCCCCTCTCAACACAACTAAACAGGGTCCAGACAGGTGGCTACCTATACAATACAGGCACGTGGGAAGAATAGCTCCTATGTATTGCAGTACTTTTCTTCCTTGTAATGCTATTTACAACTAAAGGGACTTCCCTGAAGTGTTGTCAGAGGTATTCTAGTTCACCTCAGTCACATCTTAGCATCCAAAGGGATATTTTTTTATTATTTTCTGGGTTTTTTTTTTACATTTTCCTGACTTAAAAGCTTTCTGTTGTACTAATGTGTTTACAAATTGCCAAAGATCCCAATTGTTTTAATTGCTTAAATTGTCATTCTGTTTGTCATCTACACAGCTAGAAAAGCCAAAGCTATGTCTCACTGCTATCACACAACATATCTAAGTGGTGGTAAGAAAGAGCTGTAGGGAAAACAAACTGAATAAAGAACTCCAGTTTCTTCTCTGGTTTCACTCACGGGGAAAGGAGGGCAGACTTTGCCGGGAATAGACCAGTTTTTCTGGAGCTGAGGAGAATGTTGTTGTGTATAAACCCATTAGTGAGATACAGTCACCTCTAATCCATCCCTGGCTTGTTTGCAGATGGGACACCAAGTCCCATTAACTCTCCCAGCTGAAAGAGAAAAATCATGCATATTCTCCTTCCTTTATTCATTGTAAATTCTCATAAAAAAAAAAACAACCCGGCTAACTTTCAAAAAAGGTTTAGACAGCATAGTAAAATTATAAATTTCCAGCACTGGAGAGGTCTTATTTTTATGTAATCACTTGGATTCCCAAATCTACTTTCAAAGATCTTGACCCTGAAGTTACCAGCAAATAAGGATACCATCACACTCTTGACACCTGCTTAAGATACACCTCCACAGCATCTTAAGCTGACCTAAGTTGCAGTGCGGTATCACTGCCAACCAGACATGCTTCCTCATGTCCTTCTTTGTGCTGGTTCAGGAAGCTAACCAGATGAAAACCAGCTAAAAGAAAAATTTAGGTTATTTGCCAAATCAGTTCCCGGAACTGACTCTCTACCTCGTCATCAGTGTTGGTTCCTCTGCCTGGCAGAGGACAAGACCATGTGGCCAGAATAGAGGACTACCCTAGCCTGGATTTAGACTGTTCTCAGCAGCATCACAGCACACATATGCTCAATCCAGATTTAACCAAGTAAATTTGGGTACTAAAAGCAGTCCAGCTTCAACAGCACGGAGATTTGGGTGCGCTTATTTCCTCAGAGCGGAAGTCCTTAAAGATAAGGCAAGAAATGAAGCGCTAAAAGAATCAGCCTTTTATTTCACATCTGCATTAATGACCTTGGCACAGAAAACAGCAATGCATTAATGAAAACTGCAGATGACACGGAGTTGTATAAATCAAAGACATAACATCATACAAAAATAACTGATTTTGAAGAGGGCAAGAATAAATATGGGATGACATTTAGCTACACAAAATGCAAGGTTACATGCTCAGAGATGACTATTAATTATTTCTAACTTAAGGTGTGATCTCTTAGAAGCAGGGGGATGAAAAAGCCATGAGATCACTAATGGATTACAAAATGAGCGTGAGCCACCAACATGAAAGGCAGACACAATAACATAAAGGTAAATGCAGGAGATACAGGGAAATATTAATGCCATTGTAGAAGCTGCTAGTGAATTTCTTCTCCTTGTTCTTTTTTGATTTTTTTTTTAGTTTTGTCTATGTTCACATAAGAGCAACACAAACGTGAAAAGCTGAATTTCATGGCTGGGCACTGAGCCAATCCTTAGGTAAGAAATTAGTGACTCCAATGTGTCAATGGCCTTTTGTAAGGCATTTCTTCTACCTTAACCCTAATGAGACCCCAATTAAAGTGAACACAACAAAATGCTTTGCCATGAGCAGTCTGGCAAGCAGTGCATGGTAACAAGCACCTCAGTCCACGGTGCAAGCTGTCCTTCCTGCAGACGGTAGAGACTGGAGAAAATATGAAAGCCGTTTGGCAAAACATTTCCTACAATGGTAATACTGACATACCCAGAGTTGGAAACGTGGTCATCACCTGCATTAACAGATGAATAAGCATTAAAGGCAAAAATTACTTTGCATTTCCATGCAACCTTACTTAGCCTTTAAAAGAAATTAGCTTGTCGAAAGTCACAGACGAATAAAACTGGAAACTGCTGGTTTTCTGCCACAAAAGTATCTGTCACTATCCAAACAGAACTCCAACGCTGGCTCCCCCATCGCAAGGAAGATGTGAATGATTTTGAATATTAAAGGGATGGGAACCCGTGTGTACTTGCATCCACCTTCCCCTGCCTAACTTCAACAAGCACCCGCGGAACATTTCGGTTTGAGAGCAACACACGGACTCGAAACCTCGGGTAACCAAACCCAACCCCACACCGCAGCAGTGCCCGGCCGGGGC